TATGATTGAAGTAGAGGTGATAGCAGGTAGGAAGAGCCCAGAAGGAGGGAAGATAGGATGACAGAGCTGTCTTCAGGATAAAAGGCCAGTGCTGGGGATAAACCTCAGAAGAGTTAATGAGGCTGATGTATTAACTTTTCTTATCTCACCTCGTTAATTCTTAGGAGAGAGAGAGACCTCTCTATACTTAGGGATAGGTGGCAGGTGCATGGGCCAGGTTTTATCTTCAGCAGGGCGCTTTTGCCTGGCAGAACTTCTCTCTGCCACCCATCTGACTGTGGCTGTCGTCTTGCAGGGAGCCGATATATGGATTTACTCCTCTGATGGAAGCAGCTGCTGCTGGTCATGAAATAATCGTGCAGTATTTTCTGAATCACGTAAGTGACCCGGTTTATTAGCTTGTAATTTAGTCACAGCAAATGAGGAATCATATTACTGAAGTGTAAACTATAACAGAATTTTCTTTTATGCAAAAAATAACTGTTCTTTATTTATTTATTCAGTACATTTTCACTGAGTGTCTGTTGATGTCACGTGTTGAGTGGTGCTTAGGCATTAGAGGTACAGTGGTGAGTAAGAATAGATACCTATTCCTGTAATAATTTTGAAAATACTGTTATTTCAAAAGTGTAGGAAAATATTTTAAATAGTAAATAGCACTCATAATCTCATCACTTAGAAACATTATGTAGAATAAGAAAGCAGACATCGTCCCGAATCTTTTTCAACCTCCTCCTGCTGTTCCCCAAGATACCGTCTTGGTTTGATAAAGAGCTCCCCAGGACTTTTCCTCTGTTGTCTAAAGCTGTGTTTATAGATAACTACACACACACTACTTTCTGTTTTGAACAAAGAAGGGGTTCCATGTATTTTCTGTAACTTTTTAAAAAATGACTTAATATACCACAGATGTCTTACCTTCCTACAGTATTCTGTGTATACTTTGTGTCATAATTAATAAATTCCTTATTAGTAGAAATTTCATTTCCAACATTCTGCAATTATAAACAGTGCTCCAAGGATTATCCTTTAATACGCAGCTTTAGTACACTTGCAGTTATTTCTGTATGTTGTATTTCTACAAGAGGCATTGCTAGTGCTCACATTTTAAATGTAATAGGTCCTTACTGGGCACAGTGGCTCACACCTTTAACCCCAACACTTTGGGAGGCCGAGGCAGGAAGATCACTTGAAGCCAGGAATTCAAGACTAGCCTGGGCAACATAGTGAGACTCAATCTTTACAAAAAAAATTTAATAGGTCGTAATAAAAAGATAATTAAAACACAAAAGACAGGCAAAGGATCTGAGTAGACATTCTCGAAAGAAGATAAACAAGTGACGAATAAGCACATGAAAAAATGCTTGTACAGTTGCTGGGATGTAGTCCCTGTGTTTTGTAAATCTGTCTGTACAAAAAAAAAATTTAATAATTAGGTGGGCATGGTGGCATGCACCCGTAGTCCCAGCTGTTCCGGAGCCTGAGGCAGGAGGATCGCTTGAGCCCAGGAGTTTGAGGTTGCTGTGAGCTAGGCTGATGCCACGGCACTGTAGCCCAGGCAAGAGAGTGAGACTCTGTCTCAAAAAAAAAAAAGAAAAATTAGTAGGGTCTCTGTAATGAAAAAAACAGACAATAGCAAGTATTAGTGAGGATGCAGAGAAATTAGACTGTTCTTGTGCTGCTGAGGCAAACAGTATGATGATGTAGCGTCTTTGGAAAACAGTTTGGCAATTCCTCAAACAGTTACATCTAGAGTTACCATAGAACCCAGCGATTCTGTTCCTAGATGTATATACCCAAGAGGACTGAAAACACGTACACATAGAAACTTGTACACAAATGTTCACAGCAGTATTATTCATAGTAGCCAAAAAGTGGAAACAACCTGGGTGGATGGCTATCTACTGATGAATGGATAAACAAAATGTATATCCATACAAGAGAATATTATCAAGCCATAAAAAGGAATGAAGCCCTAAACATGCTGCATGCAGCGTGAATGAACCGTAAAAACATTAGGCTCAGTGGAAGAAGCCAGACAAAAGGTACATAGTGTATGATCCCATTCCTGTGGAATGTCCAGGATAAGCAGAGCCGTGGAGATGGGAAGTAGATTAGTGGTTGGGCAGGGAGGGAGGAATGGGAAGACTGGGGAGGGGGTAGTAGCTGAAGGGTACAGGATTTCTTTTTGGGGTTATAAAAATGTTCTAGATTGACTGTGGTGATGATTGCACAGCTCTGTGAATAAACTAGAAGCCATTGACTTACACAGTGTAACTGGGTGAACTGTATGGCGTGTGAAGGATATCCCAATAAAGCTGTTAAAAATGTCCACGGAAAATTCAGGCAGTCCTAACAAATTCCTGCTGACAAGGTTGTTTGTGTTGTCCTTCCCACCAGTAATGTATGAAGGTGCCCATTTTCTCACATCTTCACCAGCCCTGGATGTTATATTAGTCTTTTAAGTTTTTGCCAATCTGGTGAGAGAATTGTGGAATCTCATTTTGGTTTGTACTTATTAAATGGTAGAACATTTTGAAATATATTTGTTGGCCATCTGTATTTTGTTCATGAATTCTCTTTGTTTTCAGCCCAAGTTTCTATTGGATAGTTTGGTTTTTTCTCACTTTTCAGTGGGAACTTTTTGAATAATGAAATTTGAACTTGGTATCTCTTTTAAAAAAAGAATTTGGGGACAGAACACGCACATGGTAAACATGCAGATGAGGCAGAAAGGGGCGCTATGGGCCTGTCTCCCTCCCCTGTGCCTGGGTCTCCTTGGTCCCCTCCCCAAGGAAGTGTCTGCATAGGCCCTCTGCATTTACGCCCACAGGCGTGTGCCTGGTCCTACACGAAACTGCTCCCACCTTGCTTTCTTCTCAAACTTAACAATCATGGAGATTGTTCTACGTCAGCGTGTAAATAGCTCTCTTTCTTTTATATCTTTTGTGGTGGCATAGTATTCCCCTGTAGGATGAATCAGTTTCTTTAGCGGTGGTCTACATGTAGCATTCAGTCATTGCCAACCATTGGCTGTTCTCCCCAGCCCAGTGCAGAAGATCTTTGCACACATGTCTGTAAACACATGAGCAACCACATCTGTATGGTACAGTACTAAAGGTCGACCTTTGGATAAAGTATAAGCACAGTCTCGACGCAGATCCTGCCAGATTGCCATCCAGAGAGGGAGTGGTACCATCTTATATTCCCACAGCAGTAAGAATTATGCATCTGAAATTACGAAGTACTTTAAACAACAACAAAAAACAGGGTAGTGCAGCTCACCTACATGGATCCAGTGCCTGTGTTTGACAGCTGTAACATCTTGCCATATTTGCCTCAGCTCTTTCCTGATTTTTTTTTAAAGGACACAGTCGAAGTCCCCTTTGTAGCCCTTCCTGACCCCATCCACCTCTCCTCTTCCAGAGGCGACCACTCTTCAGATGTTGCTGTGTACCTTCCTGTCCATGATGTTATAATTTTATTACATATTATGTATCCTTAAACAATGTATGGACTTGTTTTGAATTTTTTAAGGCTTTATATAAATAACATATCAGGCCAACACTGTGAGTGGCTCACACCTGTAATCCCAGCACTTTGGCAGGCCAGGGCAGAAGGATTGCTTGAGGCCAGGAGTTTGAGACCAGCCTGGGTAACATAGTGAGACCCCATCTCTACAAAAAGTTAAAAAATTAGCCAGGCGTGGCGGCACACGCCTGTAGTCCCAGCTGCTCGGGAGGCTGAGTTGAGAGGATCACTTGAGTCCAGCAGTTCAAGGTTATAATGAGCTATGATGACACCACTGCACTCCAGCTGGGGCAACAGAGCGAGACCCTGTCTCTAAAAAAAAAAGTCAGACTGTACGTGCCATCCAACAGCGTTGGTGCGTGTAGATGCGGTGCACTCGCGCTATGCGTAGCTCTCTGCGTTAACGCGCAGCGTGTGCACCAGTTGCCTGCATCCCTTCCTGCAGGGTGCACCGCTTTCCCGTGTGTCTGCTTTGCCGCACCTCACGGTGCTGCAGTTAATGTTACTCACACGTCTTCCTGAGCACGAGTCTGGGAATTTCTCTGGTAGTTCAGCGTGTGCTCTAGGTGTGTTTTGGTGTGTCCAGTGGGTGCATCTTCACTAGAGGGTGCTGACCTGCCCCTCTGTGGCAGTCCTGATTCACACCCCTCCTGAGGGGGCTTATACTTTTTGGCCCTCACACCCTCACTAGCAGTTGGCACCTGATAGCACATGAGTTGTCTCCTGTTGATTCTTGCCTTTCCTCGATTTCTGGTGAGTTTGAATATCTTTTCATATCTTTATTGGCCATTTGGGTTTCTTTTTCTGCAAATAATTATTCTTTGAAGGTGATTCCACTCACATGAACATGGCTTCTTTAAGACACATCAGAGGGTTAGGAATAGATGGGTAGGAGCCCAGAACCATAAAAAGCCTCTGCCTTTAAGTTTAGAGTCCAATTTTAAAAGGTAAAACTGGTGATCATAGGAGACAGGCACTCACAATTTTTAAAAAGGAAAGCGTATCGGAAAATCAGAAACTTTAGGTCTTTTATCTTCTGTGCACATTATTGTTTCTTTATGGTTAAAACCTTTAGGTTCCTGCTATGAAACTAGAAATTAGCTTTTAAGGCTGAAGGTTTCATAGCTGATTTCTAACCAGAATTCTGGAAAGTGGGATGGAGGGGAGGTTCTAGAAAGTTAAGCTCAGTAGGCTCTCATAAAAATGTACTTTTTTCCTACCCTACCAGAGAGATGTGTGGTAAGCACTGTCTGTATTGGACCCAAGACCATAGGTTGATAATGATTTTTCAAAGTAGGGGATATATTCAAGTGATACATACTTGCTATAAACTAATTAGAAAATACAGAGAAGCAAAAAGAAAGCAAAAGTCACTGCTCGCCCCATGCTCCAGAGATAGCACGTGTTAACACATCGTTGAGTGTCCTACGAGTGTCCTAGTGTTCACAGTGTACATTTTAAGTCAAAACGGAGTCACGCTATACTGATGTTCTGTAATCTGCTTTTGTCTCTTTACAGTGCTGTGTGCACACCTGTCCATGTTGCTGCACACCCAACCCTACGTAAATGGGCGGGAGGGCTCCATTTTCTAGATACACTCTCACTCAGCTCACTAATCCCCCTTTTTAGCTTCTTTCTGATTCTTACTGTGCTAAATGCTGCAGTGAAAATTCTGAATTTTATGTATATCCTGAATTATTTCCTTAGGTTAAATTCCTGGAAGAGGAATTGCTGGATCAAAGGGTGTGTATACTTTTTTTTTTTTTTAAAGAGGGAGGGTCTTGCTCTGTTGTCCAGGCTGGAGTGCTGTGGTGGGATCATAGTTCACTGTAACCTCCAACTCCCGGGCTCAAGCAATCCTCCTGAGTCAGCCTCCCATGTAGCTGGGACTATAGGTGTGCACCACCACACCTGGCTAATTTTAAATTTTTTGTAGAGATGGGGGTCTCACTATATTGCATAGGCTAGTCTTGAACTCTGGGCTCAAGTGATCCTCCAGCCTGGGCCTTCCAAAGTGCTGAGATTACAGGCGTGAGCCACTGCACCTGGTCTGGTGGCTGGGTCAGAAGCTGTGCACTCTTTCAATGTTTTCAGTCCTTCTGGCTGATTTGCCCTCCCACCTTCAGCTATGAGACTGCATGGTTGAAGCTTTTAAATTAGAAAACTCAATGGGCTTTTCCAGTTTCAAAAGGAACCATGCCTATGGTAGTACATTTAGAAAATACAGAAGATTAGAAAGATTAGAAAAATCCCTATCGTCTTACTACTTAAAAACAATATTAACATTTTGAGCATGTTTCCTTCCAGTAGTGTTTTCCGTGCACTTTTTTGTTTTGTCTTGTTTTGCTGCAGTTGTAATGTCTATGTAGTTTTGTATCATGATCCTTCTTAAAACTTGATTATACAACTGTTTGTAAATATCACCATTTACGGCAGTAATATAGCTGACTCTTCATCCCCCTTGAGCATTTGTCTCCAGGTTTTCATTTTTGCAAATATGTTGTGCTAAACATCTTTATGCATAAAAGCTTTCACCATACTTAGGAGTATTTTCTTAGGATGGAGTCACATAGGTGGAATTGTGCTGAAAGACTATGAATACATTTTAGAGCTTTGGATAAAAGTGACCAAATTCTGTTTCAGAGGGTGGTGCTTTCATTCTGACTAGGTTTAGAAGGCCGCTGCTTTCATGAACCGTTGTCTCCAGCTCTCTCTGTGTGAAGAGGAGTGAAGTGAGTGGGACACAAGCCCCGGAGCAGAAGGCGAAGGCTGGGCTCTCCACATGGTGGCCGCCACTCCCCTGCCAAGTGAGATGATGAACCTGGCAGGCAGAGTGTCGAAGGCCAGGAGCTGCTGCCCCTGCCCAGACCCCAGAACCCCACCCCACTTATCCTTGTCATTGAGAAGACAGCAAGAACAAAAACTTGCGGCTGTGATCCAAAGAAGCCTGCCCCTCTTTCTCTCACAGATGTCTTTCCTCACCCAGGGCAGGTGCACAGAAGCTCACGCCCTTCCTTTTCTCACTCCGGGTCAGCAGCCCAGGAAGTATGGGTGCTCTGAAGGAGAGAGCCCTAACGCTTCCTTCATGGACGTTTACAGGGAGTCAAAGTGGACACGAGAGACCACAGTGGGGCCACGGCCCGGATGCTGGCCAAGCAGTATGGACACATGAAGATCGTGGCCTTGATGGACACTTACTCACCCTCTCTGCCCAAGAGCCTCTATTGGAGCCCAGGTACCTGTGTCTACCAGCTGCGCTTGGGTTACCCTGAGTGTTACGGGAACCAGGAGAGAAAGACACCCGCTTCCCCCTTCCTGGTTTCTACCCATTCCTCCCCTGAGATTTGGCTTTGGCATCCCTGCCGGGAGACCATCTCTGTCTCCCCCTGCCGACTCCATGTGTGGTCAACGTTGAGGCCCCTGGTCTAACAGAAGAGAAGGCAGTTAGACAGGTACAGTGTAGAGTGGTACCTGCGTCTGAAAACACGCAAAGGATGCAGGAAGTTGGTGCCCATGGGAAGGGGGGTGGGAGGGAGACCTCACGGGGGGGGGGGACTCTTCTTTCTACTTTTTTACTTTGCCTGTGGTGTTCGTTGCCATATGTTTTAATTTTATATAGTCAAATTTATTAATCTTTATTGCCTCTGGATTTTGAGTCGGAGAAAATCATTCCCAAGGCCCTTGTACAAGAATTCACTCACATTTTCTTCTAATACTTACATGGTTTCAGTTTTTACATTTAGATTTCTGATCCATTTACACTTTATTTTCATGTATGGTGTGAGATATGGATCCGCTTTTATCTTTTTCCAAATGGTTACACAGTTGTCTTGGTATCAATTATTTAAAAATCCATCTTCGACCTAGTGTTCTGAGATGCCATACTTATCATTTACTGAATTTCTCTTTGTACTTAGGTCTTTTCCTGAACTTTAATTCCATTGGTCTCTCTGTATTCATGCACCAAAGCCACACTGCTTTGATCATAGAGGCTTTTTGTAGTATGTTTTATCATCAAATAGGGCTAGTCCCCATCACAGCTTTCCTTTTCTTTTTCACTGTTTCCCAAGCTATTGCTTGTTTATTTTTCTGTTTGAACTTGAGTATTAACTGGTCTAGCTCCTTAAGAACAGAGTGAGCATATTTTTATTGATATTGTGGTAAATTGCTCAATTAACTATATCTTTATGTTGTTGAGTTGTCCTGTCTAAGAACAAGGTATGTCTTTTTGTTCCAGTGTACTTTGGGTCTCGTAGGAAGGTTTCAAATTTTTCCTCAGATACATTTTGCATGTAACTTAAGTTTATTTCTAAGTATTTGACCATATTTGTTGCTATTATAAGTGGGGTTTTCTCTACCATTATATCCTTTGCTTATTGTCAGCGTGTATGAAGGCAATTGATTTCTTTAAAGTGATTTTATATTCTGCTACCTTACTGAATTCCTTTATTGTTCAAGTTAGTTTTTTCTCTAGGGCTTTTCAAATATACTACCATAAAATCTGCAAGTAGAGATTTGCTACTTCATTCTGATTCTCGTGCCTCTGATGTTTTGTTGTTTTTGTTCTTCTGTTTCGTTGCCAAGACCTCTAGTACAGTGTTAAACACGATGGAGACGGTGCACATTCTTACCTTGGTCCTGACCTCAGTGGAAATGCCAGATTCAGTAGGAGGCTGGCTTTAAGAGGAAGGTGTACATATATTTAAAAATGTGTATATATAAAATTTATGTATATTTTATCACATTAAGAAAGTATTCATTAATTCCTATATTCTTGAGTATTGTTTTTATAGGAATAGATGTTGAATTTTGTCAGACTTT